GGTGTATGGCCAGTGGTGTCACAAGGGGGTTGTGGGGGGTGCGGCCCGCACCCGGGTGACACCTCTGGAGGGGTGGCACCAAATTGACTGACAGTCATTTTGGTGTCACCCCCTCTGAAAAGGCGGGTACTCGGTCATGGACCGAGAGCCCGACAGTTTTGGGAGAGAGGAGGGCACCCGGCAGCATACCTTATCCCGCCGGGTGACTGTCCCCTCCTCTCTCTGCCGGCGTCCATCACCAAGATGGCCGCCGGCAGTTATCCATAAGATCGCCGTGCATGCGCGATGATGTGACGGCGGGGTGTCACCCTAAAACTGCTCCGGGTGACACAACCGGCCTCGGGACGCCCCCTGTGTATGGCCAGCTTTACTCAACAAGAACAAGGAAGATATTAAAGTGTATTTCCACCTTTGCAGTCACATTTGTTCAAATCTAGTTAACAACTGATAAGGAGATCTGCCAGCCCAGTAGAAGCAGCATTAAATATGATAAACATAATCTCTCCAGACCCCTTGGTAACATTACATAGCAGCGGAAAACTTCAGTTTTGGAGTTTTCAGAAAAAGAGCTAACAAAAATGTAAGCAGCAATTTTTACTTTTCCGCTAATTTATACTATTTGTCAGTAAGTTAATGTCTGTCTAGTGTACCCAATCCGAAATGTAAGTTAAATTGTTTTTATAATCCTGAAATTTAAATTTGAGTGTTTTATTTGACAGATATGCAAGAAATATTGTACTGACTCCATGAACAGTATGTAATCAGCTTTTACTAGGCCAAGGTTTTACTGGAAGACAACAGGCAACTTGTAATCAAGAAATCTACTTTGAGGCTATTATTTCTCAGATATAAGCTATCAAAATATTGTACTGAATTTTTACACAGTATTTAAGCATTTTTATTAGGACATATTTTGAAAAGGAGACAAACCAGGCAGCTTATAATGAAGAAATCAACATTACAGTGTTTTTTTTTTGGTTTGAAAACCAGCAAAATATTGTACTGACTTCATACACAGTATTTAAAGCATAACTCCAGGCACAAATGTTAATAACTTTAACAATTAATTTTATTATCTCACACGGCAAGGGTTAAAAAAAGGTTTTATTCATCCGACCCCCCGAAGCCGACAGTCTGTCTGCTGCAGCTATGGTATGTCCCTCAGCATCCTCACATTCTATACAGTTTGTATAGAACATGATGACTTTTAATCTGCTGCAGCAGAGGGGGAGCTAGGCAGTAGGGACCAGTCTAAAAGCCGGATGGCTACGAGGATCAGGTGAGTATAACTTTTTTTAACCTACACAAAAATGAGCAGTTAAACCTTGCAGTGTGGGAGTAGCCCCACTGCAAGGGTTAATAAAATGTTGTCCCAGAGTTCTGCTTTAAGTGGTTTTACTGAACTGCTTTTTCAAAAGGACAAACACCAGGCAGCTTTTAATCCAAAAATCAACATTAGAGTGTATTTATTTGGAGCTTCCAAAATATTGTAATGAGTATGTGCACAGTATTGAAAGACTTTGACTAGGTTGCATTTTTAACAGGACCCACATCAGCCATTTCAAAATTAATGAATCATCATTAGAGTGTCACATCTACCTGTGTTTTGATCCATCGTTGGGTTTTTTTCTGCCTGTACTAGTTTCTCAGCTTTGGGGCAATCACTAGTTTCAGATCCTGCAGCCAGCCTATTCTACAGTTCTGTCTTAATTGGCTTGTGCACCTGGTTCTTGGCAATTGCACAACATGTTAGTACACTATCTGCTGGACCCCTTGTGCCTCCTGAAGCCTGCATCTTGCTTCCCAAAGACCCCTGTAACCCACTGTGTCTACCTATGTTACTCTTCCCTGGATTTTCAGCACTTCTCGCTCTTTACTCCTAGAGACTCCTTGCATGCTTTTACTCCTGTGCACTAAACACCCATTACCTCTCCTGCGCCCTGCATTCACCTTCAGTACAGGTATCTATATAGCGCTGACAATTTTCACCTTTACACGCCTTCAGCCTTTACACGCAAGCACAGGGAGAACATGCAAACTCCTTGCAGATAGTGATCTGGCCAGGATTCGAACCAAGGACCCCCAATGCTGCAAGGTAGAAGGGCTCACCACTACGCCACTTTGCTGCCCATGCAGAGAGCTTTTTCCCTTTATGCATCTGTCTGCTTTGTGAATCACAAACCCCAGTGCTGCAACTAACTCCCTCTTTCATCTTTGAGCCAGTGTAAAATGTACCCCAGTGCTGTAACTTTCTTTGTCCTTTGTGAGCCAGTGAACCCCAAGGGCTGCATCTGTCTTCCTTCTCTTGAGCCTGCGCATCCCGAACCCCTGTGTAACTAGTATAGAATATCAATAGTATGCAAACTGTTTGAGGGAATGATAAAGGACTAATGGTATAATAAGTGATAATCAGCATGGATTTATGAAAGACCGTTCTTGTCAGAACAACCTACTAACATTCTTTGAAGAGGTGAGTAGAGATCTGGATGGAGGAAGGCTGGTGGATGTGGTGTACCTGGATTTTGCCAAAGCACTTGAGCACAATACCACACAAACAGTTAATTCCCAAGCTGAAATCTATGGGCATAGATGGGATGGTGTGTACATGGATGGAGAACTGGCTACAGGAACGTGTCCAGAGAGTATTAATAAATTACTCTTTTCCAAATTGGTCTACTGTAATGCGTGGCATGCCCCAGGGTTCTGTGCAAGGCCCAATACTGTTTAAACTGTTTATTAATGATATCGGGAAAGGTGTTAATAGCCATGTTTCTGTGTTTGCAGATGATACTAAAAATGGGAGGGTAATAGACCTAGTTACATAGTTACATAGTATTTGAGGTTGAATAAAGACATAAGTCCATCAAGTCCAACCTATTGTGTGTGTGTGTGTGTGTGTGTGTACAGGTCCCTGAGTGTTCTCATTCTTAAGAGTACCTGTACCCTTGTACATTACAGTCTCAGGAAATCGTCCAAAAGCTTCTTGAATGATTCCAGACTATTTGTGGAAATCACTGCTTGAGCATGAGCACTGCACGAGCTTAGACATTACAACATTACCTGGATAAAATAGGGGAATGGGCAACTATATGGCAGATGAGGTTTAATGTTGAAAAATGTAAAGTAATGCATTTTGGGGTTACAAATTGGCAAGCGGAATACACATTAATGGGAACTTCAATACGGAAGTCACAAATGAAAAAGATTTGGGGGTCATAGTCGACTACAGATTGAATGATAACTTGCAATGCCAGACTGCAGCAAACAAAGCTAGCAAAGTACTGCCATGCATTACAAAGGGAATATACTGTAGAGACAAAGCAATAATTTTTCCACTTTATAGATCACTGGTTCAGCCTCATCTTGAGTATGTGGTTCAATTTGGTCACCAATCCACAGAAAGGATGTTCTTGAGCTGGAGAGGGTACAGAGAAGGGCAACAAAATTAATTAAGGGGTTGGAGGACCAAACCTATGAGACAAGGTTGCTAAATTTAAACTTGTTCACGCTGGAAGTGAGGTGATTAAGAGGGGACATGATTTTGATGCACAAAATGTTTAGTGGTGATGGCAACATCAGCAATACACTTTTTACTGTAAAATCCCTAAAAAAGACTTGAGGCCACCACCTAAAACTGGTGGAGAAAAGATTTAACCACAAAGGGCATAGGGGCTTCTTTTCAGTTAGAGTGGATACATTTTGGAACTCTTTGCCACAAGCAGTGGTATCAGCTGAGAGTATTGAATCATTCAAAAATCATTTAGATACCTTCCCCAGGGACCATAACATACAGGGGTACAAGTACTCTTAAAAACTAGACCACACAGGGACTCGCATACACAGACGCATGCACAAACACATACAGACACATAAAGGTTGAACTTGATGGACCTGTGTCTTTATTCAACCTCAAATACTATGTAACTAGTGACTTGCTACTGCTACCTGCTTTCCTAGTGATCTCATAGCCTATGTTGTATTCAATCAGCTGTGCCTGCACAGTTGTGCCAGAGGGCCACAACCTGGGAACTCTCCTTTAGCAAAGTCCATCTCCCCTTTCAGGGAACTCAGGCTAATACAAGGCCCTCTTCAGACCCTGTGCCTCTATCATACCCTTTCTCCTGCAGTACAGTAAGACCAAACTGCCCTGCATAACATATGCACCACTATCGGCGTAGGTGAAGACCTAACACTGTGGGATTGTGTGTCAGAGTGAGTCTGCACCTACAGGTGACAAGAAAGGTCCATGAATCTTAACAGGTAGCAAAGAAGTGTTAAACCTGTGGGTAATGCTATCATATTCTAGATGACTCAGAAAATTTAGGGTAAGAACTGTTTCAGAGTGACCATACTTAAAAGACATTAGAGTGTTCCTTTTTCACAAAAGATTTTGATCTCAGAAAACTGGGGGGCTGATGACTTCTGCATCTTGGCTGACATTTATTACCTTTAGATGTTCTAAAGAAAATCTATTTTTCTTGTTTAGAAGGTTATCTTGGGAGTCTCCTCTTTAAGAGTGCAGTGCTATGCATTCAATCGATCTTACTCCATAGTCGGTGGAGGTTAGTCATGTGCACTGCACACACTTAGAATATTCATTTTAGGTGGAGCTTTCCTACCTAAATTAGTCAACTGACCCTTTTTGTTAGCTTATTCATTCGGTCATTTTTGTGTATTTTTGAGTGTATAATCCATTTATTGGTCACTACAGATCCTTGGCAGTTACAATCATTCCAATGTGTTGATTCTTTCCATTCCTTTTAGTATGAGCCTGTAGTGCAGTCAGTGAACTAATGGAAGGGGAGGAGGAGCTCCTGTCTCCGTACGACCCTCTCATAACAAACACACATGTCCATCTGCAAACTCTCATATGAATCCGCTCACAATCACAGCACAGGGCTGCACATTAACTTGTCTTATAACACATTTATCTCTAACTTGCAACTGAATTAACAAGTCTAGTTACAATTTACTCAGTTGGTATGATTACAAGAAGAGAAGGCTTACTACAGTGGAATTATACCCCTACAGCGAACTGAGATCACCCCCAATCAACCTAGTTACAAAACTTGGCTCAAACCTCATGCCAACTGAATAAACAGAATTAACTCACAAGCTGTACGCCACATCACTGCTGCTGCAGCCAGGGCATGGAGGCTCTCTTCGACCACGTGGGCCACTTTGGAAGGTAAGCTAGTTTTACTTTTAACGTTTTCGGGGGATCTGAGCTGAAATTTTAAGAAACTGCAGAGATTTAAAATGGAGATTGTTTTGGAGCAGGAAAGTTTTTTTTAGTAACGCTCACTGTATGATAGAATGATCTGTGAGAGGCAAAGGCAATGCTGTAACTACACAGTACCAGTTTATTTGAGAAGAGAGGACTATTGTTAGCTCAGGGATTTAGAACTATTAGCAGTCAGTTAACAGAGAGGCAGTGTGAGAAAATAACCTGAAAACATGCCACTTTGACTCTGCATAATGTTAATCCAAGCTCTGCATTTGTGAGATGTAAAGTATTTGTGAGATGTAACGTTTTCTCAGGACCTGTATTATGAGTCCACAATGCCATACTATTGATCGCCAACTTCAGATATATCATGAATTATTTTCTCTGATATATAATTTAATTTTATGTATTACTCTTTACCTACTGTATATCTTCTATATATCTAGCCTGATATTTGAGAAGGCCATAGATGCACATTAATGTCATTTTCACAGTGGTGCAGTGGGTAGCAGCACTAGGGTCTTATGTTCAAATCCCGACCAGGAAATGCAAGGAGTTTACATGTTCTCCTTTTGTGGATTTCCTCTAAGCACCATGTTTTTCTCCCACACTCCAAAGGTAGGTTACATGGTTCCTGTCTAAAATGGCCCCATTATGTGGACATGTGAGATAGAAACCTGAGGCTCCTTAAGGGCAGGGACTGATGTGACTGTACAGCAGGGGTGGGCAACTTTGGCCCTCCAGCTGAGCTTTAACTACAAATTCCTACATACCTCTTGGAGTCATGTCTGTAACTGTCAGTCTTGTAATGCCTCTTGGGACTTGTAGTATAACAACAGGTGGAGGGCCAGAGTTGCCCGCCCCTGCTGTACAGTATGTGAAGCGCTGCATAAATTGACAGCACTATATAAATACCTGTTATAAATACATTTTCAATTTCATTAACATTTTACAGCTGACCAGATGCATATCATCATAAGGTATATTAGCTTACTATAGCTGCCAGCATAGCAAAGTCTTAATAATAGTTTTGATACAAACTAATCCCTATTTTTAACACTTTAAAGCGGAACTCCACACTCAACAACCTTCATTTAAATATATTCCTCAATGACCACAAAGGATTTAAATCCACTTTGTGTGCCCCAAATTACTTTTACAACCCCAGAAAGTACCTTGTAAAAGTTGGAGTGACATCATCATTGTGGAGTACATAGCCTGTGCAAGGAGCAGAGCTGTGGGAGGGACACATAAGACCCCACCCACTACAGGAAACTACAGGAGGGTGGATACAAGACCTGTCACACTGCACAAGGAGAAAGAGCAGCAATCATTGGTCTTTCTACAGGAAGCTCTCGCACAGAGGTAATGTTTTACACTGGATTACTGCCCAGATCTAGTAGAAATGCACAAAGCACACAAGATTCAAGTAAGAATGCTTTCATATGTAGACAGCGTTTGGTTATCCCACAGATCAGCTTAAATCAAATTGCCATGGTATAGGCAATATATAATTTGCTCTTTATAGAAACATCTTTAAGGAAAGACCAATCTTAACATGATAAAAAGGAAAGACCACAACTGTAATTGACACTGAAACTCCAAAGCTAAAGCAGGAAAGGTAAAGTCTTTATTGCTTTCCATGTCCCCACTGCAAAGATTTTTCTTCATTTCATGTCCTGGTGGCACAACATGAAGTGAGGGGAAGTCACAAGATCTCAGGTGTGTCCATTGGAAGATTTCCTGTTTTGGGCACAGCTGTCAGTGGTAGGATTCCCGAGGCTGGGTGACACCCGGAGCGGTAACCGAGTGTCACCCCGCCGAGACGTCACTGCGCATGCGCGTGATGTCACCACGTGCGTGCTGACGTCATCGCGCACGCGCGGCAGTATTCTGATACCTGCCGGCGGCCATCTTGGTGATGGACGCCGGCAGAGAGAGGAGGGGACAATCACCCGGCGGGCTAGGGTATGCCGCCGGGTCCCCTCCTCTCTCCTGATACTGTCGGGCGTACAGTCCATGACCGAGCGCCTGACTTTTTTTTATAGGGGGGTGACACCAAAATGACTCCATTAACTATTAGAAACATCAATTTTCTATGACCCCATTACCTATTAGGAACATCGATCTACTATGATCCCATTAACTATTAGAAACATTGATCTACTATGACCAAATTAGCTATTAGAAACATCGATCGATTATGACCCCATTAACTATTAGAAACATCGATCGACTATGACCCCATTAACTATTATAAACATTGATCTACTATGACCCCATTACCTATTAAAAACATTGATCGACTATAGTTTTCCCATCCCTGGCTTTACTGAACAAACTGAAAAGAGAAGCTGTCTACCCCAGTTGTGATAACTTTCCCTCATAGACTTCAGGCAGGCCGCTACTAAACTATAGCTGGCAGTAATGCTAGCACAAAAACACGGTTGCTTCACTGGACTCGTGAACCCTGGCCATTTACACAGATATGGGTGGCTGCTCTTTGTATTCCACAGCTATTTCTACCACACATTACACTCACTTTAAGCAGATTGTTGGTGTCCATTGCAGCTGAATAACACAGGAAAGAAACAGAATGGTTTAAGGAACAGGAGAACTGTTTCTCTCCAATCACATAGTTCCTCTGTGGTGCATTACTGACACTCAATGACAGATAATATCCATTCTCAAATAACTATGGAAGGAACTGCAACTGACTATCACTGTTGTTCTACATGCATTACAACTTATCAGGTCTCACTGTGTGAACAAGCATCAGCGTAAACAGCAATACAAGAATCCATCTTTTACACTATCTAAATTATTTATCTATCTGTCCAGGGCAGATAGGGCTTAAATTGGGTTGATTAATTAAGGAAATATCCTCGTCTAGATAGAAAAACATACAAATTCCTGTCATTTTTCCCATCACTACATTTACGTAATCAGTGTAATCCCAGAACTTCACCCTATAATGTACTTATTCAGCTCTCCTGAGTGTAAGGTTACCTCAAAGTGTGCATTTTATGTAACGTTCAGTAACTTAAAACCCAGTGCCAGCCAAAACCTTTTTTTTTTTTTTGAGTTTGGGATAGAGTCAGGAATGGTCTCTGAGGTTTTAAAAGGAAATTCCACCTTTAAGAAAAAAAAATAATAAATGCACATTTCTTCATAAAATAAAAACTGAATTGTGCATTTCCTATTTTTTTTGTATTGGAGCTAGTAAAGCATTGAAAAAGCAATCAGCGGTTGGCAGCCTTGGCACCCTAGATTTTGTGGGATTATAAATCCCAGGAGGCAATGCAAGATAGCCACCGGCATGGTACAGCTGGAGTCTGACCTAGGACTTTTGCACATCTTTGTGTTTATATATCTGGGATGTATCCATCTAATTTGATAGGTCAATTGGGCTTCATTAAATCAATTATTAAACTATAGCCTAGCTTATATAGCTCAAGCCAGTTTAACGCAATTAAAATAACCGATGTCAAAGACCATACCTTGCCCATAAAGCTTTATTGTAAAGGAAAATGGCACTTTAATAAAATGGTGACAGAACAGCTAATGTACGGAGCTAGGGAGGGGAGGTCAACAACGCTGAGAGAGCTAAACACATCATTAGCTGCCACTAAAGTAAGTGTGGTGAGTGTGCGTGGCAAGAAAGCCTGCTTAGATCCTGGAATTAGGGAATTTCTTTGGGAAAAAAAACCCAAAGGTAGATGTACACCTGCAGGTAACTGGCTATTAAAGTAACCAAAGGCAACACTTGCTGGTCATTGAGCATAATAGCAGCCTGTTGGGTTCTAAAAGAAACACAAACAGTTAAACGGGGAACCCTGTACCAACCATGTGGTCTCTCCCTATATGATATAGTCTCATGCCATGAGAAGCTACACTGGATTTGCAATAATACACAATATATAAGTTTAATAAAAAATGTTTTTAATAAACCATAACATTCCTTAAACCCTGCAGCCCAGTATAATGTATTTAACTCCCCAAAGTCAAAGACCAAACCTCATCCATCCAGTTTTATGATACATATTAATCCCCCATCTCCGAGATGGCAGAGCCACAGCCTGAAGAGGCCCCCACACATTGCAATTTTTGTAATAGAATTTGAATGCCCACATTAAAGATGTCCATCCCAATTTCTGAAAGATGGACAAGATCCAGTCTATAAAATCCCTTTATTAAAACCTTGAAGGTCAGTGTGGTGATATGCAAAACAAAAAACAGTTACAGTCACAAGGGGAAAGAGAAACATAAAGTCTTTATTTCAATGACAAGAGCCAATGTTTGGACCCTATGAGCATTGTCACACCTCCACCCCTGTCTGAAGTACAGTATAACAATGTGGCCATAAAGAAGATAAAACATTATTGCATCTTTGACTTTCCTCCACCTGCGGCTCCAAACTCCCTTCCATAAAACCTAAAAATAAATAGGATCCAGAGACAAATTCTTAGAGTAAGGTCAGGATGCTTCTCTTTTATTTGCACCAAAATCCAAATGAATGGCACAAGATTTATATAACAAATTTTTACTTAAAAAATACCTATAGTCATGGGATAAAATAGAAAACGTACTTAAAGTGGAACTAAAACGGAATCATAGAGGGCAGGCTTTAGCTATAATGTGCAAGTATGTTTCTGATTTCTCTGCCTACAGGCTCCTGAGAAGTAAATCAGGTGGATGCCCCGAACTTTTGGTCCCATAGACATCACTATGCAGGGAGAAACGTGCGTTTATAAAAGCAAAAATGTGCAAAAACAAATTGCATGAAAAATATTACAAAACGCACAAAAGTGTAAACGCCTAGGTGTGCGCCTGCCCTCAACTGTTATCTTGTCAAAGGTAAAAAAAAGATTCTGATGAATAGGAAAAGATGCAACAAAAACTGAGAGGTAACAAACTGCCTTAGCAACAGGGCACACCTGGGCAGACCCAGGTAAATAATG